TAAGAAAAAAATTGTATGCAAAAAGTGGTAGTTTTGAGTTCCAATCACTTTCCAGATCGAATATTTTTCTCCTGGCTATAATTTCGCAAGTCGAAATTATATCTAGTGTTTTTAATCATGATATTAATGAAATTCTCTCTCCCATGCGCGTCGCTTTCTTGAGATTCTTGAACAAGAAAGTGATGAGCTATGGACAAATCGTGATGTCTGGACAGGTCAAGCATATGAAAACAAAAGCTCGCCTAGGAAATACTTTTCCTCAATAGTTTAATGCAGCTTTTCTAGTCATTTGATAAAGCAGTGGAGCCTTAGCACTGAGCTCTATGAGATTTTCGGAACTAGAGTGAAGATCATAGAGGTTAAATACGAATTTCTGGAATGTCATTCGTTATTATAAAAGTTCCGAGAATCCATGGGATTCCGGGATTCCGGGAATCTCGGGAATCTCGGGAATCCGGAATCCGCCGTTTCCCCCTTGGAAACTTATTTCAGTCTTTCATCATTTTTAGGCAGGTTAGAGCGTGCCCGCTTAGCGGGTGACAATCTTTCGTCAAGCATTTTCTGAAAGACAAAATAAACTTTTGAAATCAATTTGAGTTTTAACCGTTTTGTTTTTATTAATTTTCTTGAAAAAATACATGCATCTAGTTTATGATCATTCTTTGCTTATGTAAAGAATATATCTTGCAGTATTATGTAATAATTAAGTACGAGATGCCAGTGATACAGTGATCATCGGTGTTCCCGTGACGTCGGCGTTAGTGAGTTCAATATTTCAGTGAGCAGTGGCACTGAACCTACCAGTGTGCACTGAGCGTCACTGTCGATCGCAAAAGTGACGGGTTTTTCGGTGTTTTCGCTGACACCGCACATCCCAAAATTACATCTTGTAGCTGCTGCCATCAAGTTATATGTTTTGACCAATTTTTTCAGGTTGGTTTTAAATAGTTTCAGTTCATTTAGTTGATTTATGTCGTGCATTGTTTCGATTAGATTTATTTCGACATAAAACTTCTATTTAATCTTACAATATTGCCGAAGCAAAAGCTGTTAATTGAGATAGAGCAGTTGGCTACAGAACACAGTCAGGAGACTTTAATTTGTGACAAAAATAGCTCTTCTTTTTTGTGACTTGTATATTCTCCGTATTATTTGATGAAAAAGTCATCATTGTTACAACTTTCAACCAAATATAAGTGACACGTCTGTGTCTACTAGACCGGCCTTACTTCAAATGCCGAATATGAATTCAAGTAAGGATTTTGATAGGCGTAAGCGTTAAAGTAGTTCTGATTATCTGGAGAAGAAAAAGAAGGAATAATTTTCAATCGGAATCAGTTGATATTTGTGAAGAAATCAAAATAAATTTGATAAATTAGTTATTTAAAATGCACTGATTTTACGTATTCACTTGATACTTTGGCGAATTAGAAAGCTGCATGTTGTTGAATAGTCTGTAATAGACGGATGAACCGGAATATTTTTCGCTTCGAATAACTCCTGCTTCTCAAATGTGAACAACTTTTACTTCAGATGTCACCTTTCGAAACGAGGAGGCAATAGACATTGTCCCATAAAATTCCAACACTATTTCGAAAGCTAATGCATGTATTTTATTTGATGTACACAAGTCACCCGGATGTGTGCACTACTTCTCAAGCTTTCCGATTTTTTCTAGATAATAAATGGTGAATAGCTTTATCAAAATTTTCTTCATCGTAGCTTATTTGCTGCCACTGTTTTACAATTCCACGATCCTTGCCTGTGAATGTGCATCGAATGAGTCTCGCTCATTGTATGATGAATTCAGGACTATGTCGTACATTTTCATCGGTACTGTGACAAATATAACAACAACGTGGAGGGACGGTGGTACAGGTGCAAGTCGTGACATACAGTTTCATGTGGATGAATTTATTAAGCAGCCATTCAACTCTAATAACCATTCAATTATAATCTACACGCCTAGAGATCGTTCAGCATGTGGTATTAAGATGAAATTAAACGAACGCTGGCAAATTTGGGCAGAGTACTCGAACTTCTTTTCTGAAGATGACGTTCCTCGTTGGCTTACAGTAATCAGTTGCGGTCGTACCACCAAAAATCTCAAACAGAATGATCGCCTATTACGTAAATGGTCTACTACGCCACCAATAAGAAAAGACAATAAAACCAAGAATCACTAACGACTGAAACGAATGTTCTTATTGAGGCGTATTCTTTACACGATATTCTCAAATTCTTCAGATTCATCTTAAACATGTGTTTCCTTAATCTACCGTGTTGATCCGCCTCGCTTTGAACACCCAAAGACTAGGAACATGTACGATAGGAACCCCTTACTATGAAGTTTAATTTTTCGTTTTACTGTTTTTTCGATCAATTAAATTCATCATAATTTACTGCAGATGTTTCTATTATAGAGATCACATGATATTGTTTATTGATATAATCATTCCTGTTTTCTTCGGACCTCTTTTCAGATAATTTCAGCACGCGTCCCAAGTGCAGTGGTGTGATTGGTGAGTTAATTTAGTAGCCATGATGCGTTTACACTGCCTAAAAAGTCTCCTTAGATGGCCTACAGTTGAATAGCTCTTGATGATTCACCAAAAAAACATATCCACTTAAATCGATAGACACGCAGAGATTTTCGAGTAGGTATATGGATTTAATGAGCAATTCAAATTTAGCTTGAAGTAACACTTTTCCTAAATGTGGAAATACGCCCAAGTCATGAATTTTCGCGCCATAGATATAAAAACTATCCTATTGAGGCTTTCCAGGTGAAGTACGTACGGTAGGAAACTGAAGGATCTGCGAAATTCTGGTTGATTTCCGGTGACCATATCCGAATTCTGTTCTTGCGCACGTTTCCATCTTAATTTCTGTAATTTCCTGAAATCGTAAATGGTTTACAGATCTGGCTAGCCTTCACGATACGTTCCTTGATAACGAGTACGTCAATTCCTTACGACAAAGGGATACGAGTTGTATCCTTCCGCTTCTAATATCAATATTTTGCCACTGTGATCGCTAGCGTAGTGGGACGTAGCTTTTAGCAGTTTTCAATCTTTAACTGTAATAAACTCAGGATTATTCTGAAAATGAGACATTTTCTTTTCATGATTCAATTGCATTCGAATCATTTAAAGTAACAATAGAAAAATCAACGAGGATGTAATTATCTATTATCGATTGGGACGAACTGATTATAAAAAGAGATCACAATAGAAGTTTTTGAGTAGATAATTTGAATTCATATGACTAATATGCAAAGAAAAAGAAATATTCAAATCGCTTGATTATCAGATACAGAGGAAATGAAGGAAAATTAACGAGAATATTTCAAAATATATCGAGATTCTAGAATAGTTTTGTGCGAATCATTAAATATGGCGTCTGTGATTAAATCCATTTGATTTCATGATAATAATTTCCTACAATTTTTTGGTCGTCTAATGCATTTTACTTCATTGCATATTTCCTCAAATTACAGAAGCACAATATACTCCCCCCTCGTTGTTACTTACATCGATTGGATGATGTACTAAAATATATTTTGATCTTTATTTTCTACATCTAGTCCGGTATAGTTAGTCACAAACGAAAATCTATATTTGGTGATCATATAATAGCCTAACGATTATAAGCAAAGTTTTTTTTATGATAATCTGTATATGTAGAGTTAACTATCCATTCATATAGTAGAATGTCAACTACTGGTGAGCCATCAAAATATTTTGGGATAGAAAGAATATAGGAGAACAGTGGAAAAATTCAAACAGGTGCGGTGTTGTCATCTAACAATATTTTTCTTAATGTTTATTCACATTAAGCAATCAGATTTTTCAAATTTCATTTGATATTCAGTATCTATATATTTGTTCATTTCGATTAGAATTATACAATAGAGCAGCTTTGCAATATATGTAGCCTATATCAATCATGAATTTTACGTTTTCATTTTTCATCTGTTTCAGAATTATTTATCAGAATATCTTTTCATTCACACCAGTAGGTTTATTATGAATTATATAAATCTTGCTATTGAATATGCAAAGAAGAAAAGTTTACAATGCGCAAAAGTCAAAAATTTTCCGTCGACGCAAAGCTCGTTAAAAAAGATATCCGCGTTCTCATTCAACTAATACACAAATGCATGATGATGAAAAAAATATAACAATCAAATTTATTTCGATGAAAATAAATTCATCTGATGAAGTAAATATGATTTAGCTTGATGGTTCAGATGAAATAAGAGAGACGAACGACGAAAATCAAAGCAATAATCTCGAAGATGATTATCTGAAAAGCGATGAGCAACTGACATCGAGTCCTGATAAAGTTATAATAGATGAGAGCATTTATTTTTAGGAACCTTAAGATTTAACTCTTCATTCGTTTACAACATCTACATCGTTGTCGTTTGCAAAACAAGTTATTCAATTTATTAGAGCAACAAATATTTCAAAGAAATACGTTCAGGGTGTGGGTGTGGGTGTGTGTTTAGAAATTAGAATGCCGTACCACGACAACAGTTGTTTCTGTCTTGGCTTGACTTCATCAGGTGGTGTTCTCAATATTATATTTACTTAGATAGTAATTCTTAAATTATTCGGATAGAAACATTCGAATTACTTTTCAATACAATAAGGGTGAGGGTGTGGGTTTGTTATTCACTCAACAATAAGATCCAGTGCAGAATACGACGCGTTTCGAACCTTGCTTAAGGGTTCAATCATCAGGTAGCTTAAGAATCTTATTTAGACTACATGAAAAACAAAAGAAGATCATCAAGTAAAACCTAGAATTCCAATATAATAATAAAAGTATTTCAATAAAGGAATTTTCAACGAAGAAAATCGCCAAAAAGAAAAACAATCATTACTATATTCGAAAGGAATATACTTGACATAAAAGATCAACTTTATTTGTTCGTATCGTAGTAAATTATATGATGGATGTGTTATTCACTCAATAATAAGATTTCTCTATATATTATCATAGATGGGCTAGATTGAAAGCATCACACGACATTTCGTCCTTGCTTAAGGGTCTCATCAGATGGTAATAACTCTGCTGTATTCATTTTAAATGATTATCGATTTATTCAAAAGAAATCACAAATAAAATACAATAATCTATTCAGAATTCCAAACAAAATTCAAATGAAAATTCAAAAGAAAACCAAGAAGAAATTCAAAAGAAAATCAAAAGAAAATCAAAAGAAAATTCAAAAGTAAATGATGATTATCGAAGTCTGTTCGTCGAATGAGTAGTTTTAATTATTTGAATTAAAATATTTTGTATGGGATGTTGTGGGCTCTCTGTGGAGTTCTGTTTTCTCGTGTAACAATGTTATGATATTTTGTTTTAAATGTTTTTTTTGTAACAAGAGTGAAACTGTGTTTACATGTGGATTAGATATTGTTACAATTTAGTTGGTCATTTGATTTGGTTAGGAACCGAGATGTACGTCGCTGGATCCTGTTCACGTTTTTGTTTTATCGGTTGTGGAGTTTGCTTGGGTTATGTCGTACTAGTTCTTTGGTTAGGTTTGGATTGTTCCGAGATCCAACGATCAGTTTTGTCGTCATGATCGGTGTTCGATAAAATGATTCGAACCAAGCTTTATGTATGGTAGATTTATAATGAGCATACCGGTTTTCATGTGTGTAATGAATAATGATCGGACAGTTGAAAACGGTGCTGTTTTGACTTTTATATACTTTAGTATGCACTAAAGGGTCAACTGTTATGTTTTGACGTTTGTTGTCAAGTGTTGTTGCAATTCTTGATGCTCGTGCATGTTCACTCGCTGTCGGTTTCGATAACAGTTTAGTTCGTAGTAGGACGTACTCATTTTCATCGTGAATCATTGGTAGAATAGAAATCGATGTAGCAGATAACTGTTGAAAGAATTTTTTCAAATAATGGCGTATATATCGTGATGGAAAGCTAGAATAGCGTAATGGAATAAGACCTTGACTATTCTTTGAATACTCGAGTTCTTACCTATTATAAAGTAGCATTAGTTTTAACGCTCGTATTTCATGATTAAATGTTTGTAATGTTGAGAAGTAACGAATTGCTCGAAGAAGAGAAGTTGTTATAATATTCTCGAATATATGACGAGGATGGTCAGATTTAAATGGCACAATATAAGGTTCACTTGCTTCTTTATGATAGACTGACGTGATCAGGTTTCCATCTTGATTATTGATCTGGACGTCAAGAAAAGAAACACAACTGCCTACTTCACGAGTTAGTTTAATATTCAAATGATAGTTGTTAGCGTTTTCTAACATATCATGTAGACTTTCGATAGAATCGTTGGAAGTTAAAAATATATCATCGATATATCTATAAGTAGGAATAGTAAAAGAATAGTTTATAAAAAATCTGCTTTATTTAATATAACTTACCGGCCATATAATTCATTAGAAGCTTTCTGTTTTTCGACTAATTTCTGTTCCCAATGCCAAATAAATATATTAGCTAAGGTTAGAGTAAACGGTGATCCCATTGCACCCCCTTTAACTTGACGGTAATATTTATCTCCATAGATAAATACGTTTCGGTCAAAACTATACGAGCTAAGCTTTCTATAGTATTAATTGACATTCCTCTCGTATGCGTTTGATTGAATCGAATAAGAAATTGTTTCAAAATCGCTATTGATTCTTCTTGTGGTAGCATAGTGTAAAGATCAGTTATATCAAATGTACATAAATGAGTGGTAGGCTTTAAAAGGCCGAGACTAACACATTTGTCTAGTTGACGAATAAGATGAACACCGTCTATGATTGTTGCCTGCTTAACGTATTGATCAAATAACGGCCGAATTAATCTATCAAGCATTTTTGATATTTTTGTTGTTGGTGTATTCATACCAGAAACAATGGGTCGTAACGGAGTACCTGTCTAATAGAATAACATGTATTTTAGTTGAGAAACTGAAATTATTTTATAAAAAAAAATACATCCTTACTTTATGTGGTTTCGGTATGAAATATAAATAAGCCAATTGAATTTTATTTTTATCGGGCATCATTTGTATGTTGCCATTGTGTAATTTGTTGTTTGGTACGAATATTATTTAGCAAACTAACTACTTTATACAATGTATCCATTAATGGATCCGATGATAACTGAATATAAGCATTAGTTTTCGCTTGATATTTTTTTACTTTTTCGTCATAGTCAAGGGTTGAACCAATATGAAAAATGCCACTTTTATTAGTCACACGTATAATACTATCTATTTTAAGTAATTTACGTTTAATTGAATGAATAAATTTAATATCT